AGCTGACTTTTCTAGCTTCTTGGCTCCTATATACAACCTTCTACCCCCATTTGAACTTCCTATGCCTCCACCTATCAAGATAAGCTATCCTTCAAAGAAAAGATGACTTTCTTACCGTTTCTTCCAAATTAGGAGACTCAGTCCCAACTGTTATTCTATCACGAGTTTTATTATTTCTTTCTAAAATTCAGTTACAATCTGACTGAATCCTGTCATCTAAAGGATAAATTTTAAATGTAACCTGAAATAACTTATATATAAAATTGTAATGGGATAAAGGAAACTAATTGGCATATGCAGATAAAAACCTACATATAATAAATAAATAAACAATACACAAAGCTACTACAGCCTCATTTCTATAACTGGTCAAAAGGCCTTAGTGGCTATCTATGATTTCCTTTTTCCACTGCCTATTCTATATTACCTGTGCCCTCAGACAACACCAGCTTGTCAGGATTCTTTATGGGGATGAAACCAAAATCTTTATCACTGAAGTGTCTGAGTTCACAGTCATGTATTATTTGGTTGCTGTAGTTCTCCATTGACTTTTTCTATTAAGAAAACAAGTATTAAAAGACCCCCAGAGAATCCTCTGGATTCCAAACATAGTTCTCCTTGGCCCCCATTGTATAGCATCACCATGATTTCTCCTTAGTAATTGGGATTAATCACACCAGCTAGTAGTGGCAGATTCCTAAACTTTCACAGGATTCGTCTCCCACCCTCTGGCATGCAGAGGTGTTACTAAGGCACAAAGGATGCTTGCTACTTCAGGCTTGCCAGGTCCAATTTGGAAATATCAACCATGTAATGGAGAAGCATGATATTCTGTGGGATATCAAGATAGTCAAGACCCTGCTGCATTATGAGGGAGACTAGAAATGTTGACAGAGACTTGAGGTAAGACAGTGAAGACTTACTGCTGTCCCTGACTCATTAAGACTAAATACATATTATCTATTTTCCTAGTGGGAGTTGAAAACATTGAATAGGTCAATAGGTATATGCAAAGAGGTGGAGATACACGGACTTTCTCCAATAAAGACAAGACATCTGTAACCACAGCTACAATTGCTATCATCCTCTGATTAACTTTATGATAATCCACAGCAGCTTTACAACTTCAATAAAATTTGCACCAGCCTAAAGGGTAATTAAATGGAAACATGGTAAGAATCATTATCTTTCCAGTATTTGATGACATCAGTTCTCTTATGGATATAGTATTGTTGTTATTCTTTCTTGGGAAGGAAAGGATTGGAGTACAGTTTCAGGGGCTTTCATTTGACTTTTCCTACTATAATAATCCTCACTGCATACATCAGAAAACCTATGTAGGAATACTGCCAGTTACTAAGTATATAGATATCCCTCTTTATATACTGGGATTGGACAAATGAACATAATGAGTCTATTGCAATGCACTCATTACTGGATAAATTTAGGTCAGGAATCAAATACCTAGTCATCAAAGACTCCCACTTTGATCAGTGGGCTCCAGTGATGTTTTGAATCTCTGGACCTGAGTCATTAGAGAGCCAGTATCTAAGAACCCTTGGAAGGTCTGGGTGTTTGCTTCTCCCCAGGTTACTGTCCCCTGATAAATGGCCCAGGTCCCACTATAGATGGCTTAGAGAAACATTCATGGTAACCATTTGTAAGCGTGTAGAGGGGGGTCATTCCTTAAAGGCAGCCAGCCGCTTCTTCCATCAAGAGGCTCTAGGTCTGTGAAATGGCTCAAGTCTGAGAACTCTATAAAACACACACACACATACACACACACACACACACTCTCTATAAAATATTCCCCATTACAGCACCTTGAGTAAAATTTTTTCTGTCCTCCAGAGTTGAAATTTCTCTGCTCATATACGTCATACAGAACCATAGTAGGCTGCTGTAGTAGGTTGAATGGTGGCCTCTTTTTAGATACGTCCATGTCCCAATACCTGGCACCTGTGAATGTAACCTTACTTTGGACAAAGGGTATTTGCAGTTATAAAGAAATTGAGGGTCTTAAATCATCCTGTATTATTAGCCAGTGGCCCTAAGTCCAATGCCAAGTGTTCTTATGAGAGACAGAAGACACAGACACATGACAAGAAGGCAATGTGACCACAGAAGCAGATATTAGAGTGATATGGTCAAGGAAGCCAATAAATGCTGGAAGCCACCAGAAGCTGAAACAGACAAAGAAGTATTTTCCCATAAAGATTCCAGAGAAAGTGCAGCTCTGCTGACACCTTGATTTCAGACTTCTTGCCTCCAATACTGTAAGACAATACATTTCTGGGATTTTTTTGTTTGTTTGTTTGTGTTTTTTTTTTGAGACAGTCTTGCTCTTTCACTCAGGCTAGAGTGCAGTGGTGCCATCTCAGTCTCCAACCTCTGCATCTCACTGCAGCCTCTGCCTCCCGAGTTCAAGCAATTCTCATGCCTCAGTCTCCCAAGTACCTGGGGTGACAGGCACCTGCCAGCACGCCTGGCCAATTTTTGTATTTTTAGTAGAGATGGGTTTTCACCATGTTGGCCAGGCTGGTCTCGAATTCCTGATCTCAAGTGGCACACCTGCCGCGGGCTCCCAGAGTGCTGGGATTACAGGCATAAGCCACTGTGCCTGGCCACATTTCTGTTGTTTTAAGACACCCAGTTCGTGGCAATTTTATGACGGTCCTAAGCTACTACAACTGCCCATTTCATTCCTGTGGATATGATGATCAATTAATAGCTGCTATAAATCCCTGCAGGGTCAAACCACTCTATCCATAGTGACTTGTTTCTTTTAAAATGTTATTGTGGTAAGAGCATTTAGCTTGAGATCGACCCTTTTAACATATTTTTAAGTGTAAAATACAACATTGTTATCTATAAGCACAATATTGCACAGTAGCGCTCTAGAATGTATTCATCATGCAAAACTGAAATATTACATCCACTGATAACAGCAACTCCTATTTCGCCCTCCCCTGCTCCCAGCCCTGGACAATCACAATTTCATTCTTTGCTTCCACGAGTTTAACTATTTTAGATACTTTATATGAACGGAATCACACAGTGTTTGTTCTTTCTGACAGGCTGATATCACTTAGTATAACATCTTTCAGGTTCATGTATATTGTCAAATATTACAGGATTTCCTTTTTGCTTAAGGCTGAATAATATTCCACTGCAAGTACTCCATTGCATGTATATTGCATATATCATTTGTTTTATCCATCCACTGGGGAACATTCAGGTTTTTCCCCCACATTTTGGCAATTGTGAATAGTGCTGCAATAAGCATGGCAGTGCTGGTACCTCTTTGTGATCTTTATTTCAATTCTTTTGGATAAATACCCAGAAATAGAATTGCTGGATCATATGGTAATTCTACCTTGTAATTTTTGAGGAACCTCCATACAATTTTTTTTTCCTTTTTTTTTTGAGATGGAGTCTCGCTCTGTCACCAGGCTGGAGTGCAGTGGTGCGATCTCGGCTCACTGCAACCTCCACCTCCCAGAGTCAAGCAATCCTCCTGCCTCAGCCTCCCGAGTTGCTGGGACTACAGGTGTGTGCCAGCACACCCAGGATTTTTTTTTTTTTTTTTTTAGTAGAGACGGGGGTTTCATCATGTTGGCCAGGATGGTCTCGATCTCTTGACCTCGTGATCCGCCCGCCTTGGCCTCCCAAAGTTCTGGGATCACAGGCATGAGCCACCACACCCAGCCATACAACTGTTTTCTACAGTAGCTGCACCATTTTGCATTTTCACCAACAGTGTTCAAGTGTTCCAATTTCTCCACAATCCCACCATCGTTTGTTGTGATTTGTTATTTTGTCCCTAGGGCTTCTAGGGATTTTTCTTTCCTATGGGGAGTAGGTATTTGTAGGAGGTGTCTGAGAAGGTGGCATATAATAAGTAGATCTATTCCAACAACCCATCATCCTGAGTAATGTTTTCCAGGGAAGTGCTGGCATTTCAAACTGATTGGTATAGGCCACTTTCGAGCCCAGGCATCAGTTAACACATCTAGCAATTCTCAACACTTTAAAGGAACACATTAAATCCTGAATTTTAGGCAGAAACACAAATTTGCGTTGATATAATCTTTATCCTTTTAAATCACCTAATACCCTTACACTATGCTCTTAAGCATGCTCCCCTGGCTCTTTATAAAATAATGCAAGATCCTGCAGGTCTTCCAGTGTTCAAGCTAACTCATACCAGAACACACTTTTTTCTTCCTCACTAGTATCCTTACCTTAGCAAAAGATCTAATAAGAGTTGACATTTAATTGACAGTACAGCTCTGCAAAGTTTAATTAGGCTCCAGACTTAATCCTCACTCACATGTGCCCTTTAAACATATTTTTAAGTATAAAATACAGCATTGTTAACTATAGGCACAATATTGTACAGTATATACAGGAGATAAGTAATTTAGTCACAAAGACTTTCTGAATATCTATCTGGGCCTTGAGTTGGACATTAGAGACTTTCAATTTATCCCTTTCTCTATGGACCCTCTCTAGTGTAAAATACAACTATCTTATCCCACAATTTTTGTCATCAAAGGGATAAATTGCCTCAGCCACTGGATCTCCATATGCTTTACCCCCCATCTGCACCCCATTCTATTCTATGCCACCATTGGTGATAATGTGAGTAATCATGATGCTACCACTTGTTGCAGATTGCCATTATTCCATTCACCTGGCAAGGTTATCCATATGCTGTTCAAATGTGGGAGTAACCCAACCCTAGAATTCCTTTTTTTTTTTTCTTTAGACGGAGTCTCGCTCTGTCGCCCAGGCTGGAGAGCAGTGGCGCGATCTCGGCTCACTGCAAGCTCCGCCTCACGGTTCACGCCATTCTCCCGCCTCAGCCTCCCGAGTAGCTGGGACTGCAGGCGCCCGCCACCTCGCCCGGCTAATTTTTTGTATTTTTAGTAGAGACGGGGTTTCACCATGTTAGCCAGGATGGTCTCGATCTCCTGACCTCGTGATCCGCTCATCTCGGCCTCCCAAAGTGCTGGGATTACAGGCGTGAACCAGCGTGACCGGCTAGGATTCCATTTTAAGCTCAGTTTCCTGAGATCATTTCTGGTACCAATTACTGCTTGGGCCAAGGTCCAGCAGAAATCTGTTGGCTCACTCGAACTGTTTAAGAAGTATTTAATAAAATAATTTTTTACAATGGAGAGGACCCTAACAAAATCAATACAAAAAATAAAGCATCTTAACCTAGCTACACAAAAGGAAGCCATTTTCATGCTTAAGCTAAAAGAGGAAAAGGAAAGATGACTCAAAATTCAGAAAGAGTCATGGTGCAAGAGGGATTACCACCCAACCAGAGCTGTGGTTTAATGTAGAGAATTGCAGCCACTGACAACAGACCAAAAAAGCAGATAGGAGAAACCAAGGGAATACATACCCTCACCTCTTTCTTTCAGACTTCAAATTTCCTATCCTCTCTCCATTTTTCTCCGTAAGTCTTCCATTCCAGTTGTTTCACCCCTGGGTCAACAGGGGAATTCTAAAGTCCTTTATTTCTTCCTCTCTGGCTATTTTCTTCTCACTGCCTGCCTCCCCAACCCTTTCTTCTCTGAGCTATGGGATTCTCCTAAAGTGTCTTACAAAACATCTAACCATTTACATTCCAGTGTAAACCTGCATTTGTCTGTATTAAATTGCTGCCAGTTTATCAGTAATCAGAATGGTCCCCAATCTAGTCCCATCTGTAATTTATTGTTTAGAGAGTTCCCTGAATTGTCTATGAGACCTTGAAAATGACTACATTATGGCAATTTCCTCCTTGATATACTTTCTTAACAACTGCCATGTGCTGTAAAAAATTTTAGATATCCTACAAAATGTGTGGCTGAAATGTTGTCAAATATTTACATAGAACAAATATTTAACTTCTTGATCATTAAACTTGAGAGAAAAGTCTCATTAATTGCTGACTGGAATTAGGAGAAAAATCATATGTCTTATGTATATATAACTATGTTGTGTGTGATAGTGAGTAAAATACTGCTATTTGATTATAGATTTTCACTTTTAATTCTTTCTCCATTTGGATACTTTCTATTTAGCCCTTCAGATCTACTCTTCCCCTTACATACTCTGCTCTTTGCCTTGAAGCCCTAAAAATTATAAACTGACTCCTACCCCTTCTGCTTTCCTTTCGGGTTTGGCCAGTGGGAAACCCAAGCAGGAGACTGGAGGAAGGAAGAAGTATGAAATTGTGTATTTCTCTAGTTCATGAGATTCCCTTATGCCTGGCTGTTCCCTTCACAACTGGTCATGTTATCATGATCAAGATAACTTGATCCTCTCAGTTATCTTCTTTACACTCTTCCTGGGTTCTCAGACTTTCTCCCCAAATTCATTTGAGACTAGAGGGAGAGACAGCCTGTCTGATACTGGCCCTGTGTTCCTTTACTATTCTTTTAGTTTCCCTACCCACTACCCACACCTTACAATAAGGCCGTTTGTAAATAAACTCTCCTTGGCTTAAGCTATTTCGAGTGTGCCATCCATTTCCTGTTAAGACTGACTGGCAAACCATTACTCATCACCGCAGGTCCCTAATGTATATGTGGTCAAGGTCACTTCTTTGGTTTATTGGAGAAGGGGGTTGTTATGGTTTATTTAACCAAGTTTATTCTTCTTACAGTTTCACCATGGTCCACGGGAAGTTTTTCTTGCGTATGCTAATAGCTCCATTGTTTACCCAGAATTAAGGTTTTTTATTTATTTATAGTGTCAATTGTTTTATTGGGATTATGAGAAGGATGGAAAGTGAAAGCAGACAATAAACTGCAAAGATTCAAATGCCTATACTAAAATATGAATTTTTTTATCCTGCTTACGGAAATTTTCAAGAAAGAGCATTTTATAATGTTTCCTCCCCTCCACATACTGATTAGCTTCCTATAACTACATTTTATCTAAAACAAATAACTTGAAAGTTGTCTAGTTTTTATTTGGTTGTTAGATTTTAACTCTAATATACTTGAAATTTTTTAAAAAATTTAATGTGAAAACACATTTTAAAATGTTTTCTTTACTCCAAAATATTAATTTCAGTAACAAAACTGCATTTCAATTTAGCACTAACTTCCTAACAACAATATACTTATATAGAAATGTTTTCTCTTTATATAACTCAAAATATTTATGAAAAACAAAAAATAAAATCAATAAACAGATTAAATTCCATTTCCATACTCTGTGACCTCTGTATTACCCTATAAGCAGTGAACAAAATGCCGATCATCAAACAAATATTCCTGGATCACCTAAGGAGGAGGTCTCTGGGATTCTATAATCTTAGGTGTTGTGTCTGAGTGATGTTTCCATCTGATCTCATCAATTTCAGGATCATCAAGTATAAATGAAGCCAGCACTGGAATCTGAGAAAAATAGTTCTTAGCCAGGATATGCTTGTGTTTGATCTTGTGAATAAACGAGCGTTCATATCCCTGCAAAGAAAAAAATCAAATCCTAGTAAATACTGCAGATGTATTTTGCCAGATAAAAATACTGTCATGCCTCGGTGCCTTTGCTTGTCAATTCTTTCATCCCAGATTACATTTATTTTTCCTACATTGTCTATCATCATTCACGACTCAGTTCCTATGATACTTTAACCTGGAAGTTTTCCCCAACTCTCCCTCTGACTTCTCTAAGTTTAAATTGCTGCTAGTTACCAACTCAGTATTCATTCTCTCTTCCATTTGAGCCAGAGGCCTGATTTTGTACAGGGTGTGATATGTCTAGCTTTCTTAGTCTTTATTCTAACTGGGGGTGTCTAGTTAGAATATATATATATATAATTATATTATTAATGTTATAGATATTGAGGTCAGAAAAAACAAAAATAAAAAAAACAAAACAAGGAAAGTCTGAGAAACTGTCACCACCAAGAAGCATCTAAGGAGACATGACAACTAAATGTCTTCCAAGATTATTTAATTATACACAATATATATAATCTTATATAATTATTTATATATATAATTGAATAAAGACTTTTAAAGGGACTTTTAAGAGTGGGAAGACTCGCCTATTAAGCACCTCTAGCCTTTTGCCATTACTGAGAGGTACGTGTAATGAAGTAGATGAACTAGCTCTCCTATCACTAAGAGTCCATCAAGCATGAGAGAGAAAGCTGAAGATTAAATATGGCTGAGGAAAAAGTGAGATGGCCTGAATTTCTGAGAACGAGGTGAGCCACCATAATAGCCCCAAACTGCCAACATTTGAACTTTCTTGTTACATAAGAAAAGTAAACTCATATTTGATTAAATCATTATAAATTGATTTTTTCTTCTTGTAGCTGAACCCAAATGCAGCTGAGACAACAAAAAGTTATATTCATTAAATTTTCTTGTTTCTCTGTAATTACTTAGTACAGTATTTGGCACATTCAAAAGTAAATTCTGGTTAAATTAATAAATATAATCTATTACCTATTAATCTTAATTGGCTCTCTTTTCAGTCAAATCACAACTACTACCTACACTTCTTCCTAAAATTTATTTTCTGAGAATAAGACATTCCCTTTATTAAAAAGGTCAAATCAAAGATAAAAGAAAGTCCTGGGTGAAAGGACCAAAGGAGAAGAAAGCATTATATAGGAGTATCCTGGGCTTATTAAAATTTCTTCTTAACAGAAAAATTTACTAGGTTAGAATATTCATCTTTTGAGCTAATCTAACTCTGTTTCTACCACTTCATAGCCCATATTTCATTCAAGGAAAACACACTTTATTATGCTATATTAACTTACACATGTACAGAACTTTACAGGTTTTCAAAGTGCCTTTACAGAACTATAAATTAGTAAAGATGAGATAAATTATGATATATGTGTTCAAGGCACTAATAAGTAACTCTTAAATAATTGAATATATTTCCATATTATATTATTTATATTGTTAAGTAAAGCAAAGACACTCTCAGAGTCATTTAATATGAAATTCCTGCTATAGTAAAAGTGTATATACTTACATACACATAGAAAATTTCCAGAAGGATTTCAATAGATTATTATATACATAAGAAATAGTAGTTATCATTGTAACATGGAGATAGGGATGGGTGGACATCAAGAGACCTTTTTTCCCATTGAAATAAGGTCCATTCTCTTGAAATAGCCATGTGATGGTTTTAAACTATGTCCACAAATTCTTTGGGTGTACAAAGAGTTCTAAGAATATTACAGAAAAGTCCCATATACCCCACACCCACATTTTCCTGAATGTTTCTCAATCTGGGTTTGTCCTATGTTTTCTTCATTATTAGACTGAAGGGATGGGTTTGGGGAGGAAGACCACAGGGGTGAAGTGCCCTTCTCCTCACATCATATCAAGGGTACATACCGTCAACATGACACCACTCCTGCTGTTAATCTTGATTACCTGGCTGAGGGAGTGCTTGTCAGGTTTCTCTACTGTGAAGTTCCTCCTCTTCCATCCATAATATACTCTTTGGAAAGGAGTTATGCACAGCCCACACTTAAAGGGTGGAGAGTTATTCTCCAACTCCTTAAGAGTGGAGAGTATATACATAAATTATTTGGAATTCTACATGGGAGATTTGTTTATTTGCCTTCCTTTATTTATTCATTCAATTATTTTTAAAATGTTTAAATTGATAATAATTGTACATATTTATGGGGTACATCATGATGGGATGATACACATATCATGATCAGAGTAATTAGCATATTCATCTCAAATATTTATTATTTCTTTGTGCTGGGAACTTTTGATATGCTTCTTCTAGCTATTTGGAACTATATATTGTAATTAACTATAGACAACCTAGAGCGGCACAGAACAGTACTAGAACTCACTCCTCCTATCTAGCTATAATTTGTGTTATCCTTAACAAATCTCTTCCTATTCCCTCAACCTCTGAGACTTTTACTTTCTACATTACATTTTTTACTATGTTCAGATTCTAAGCTAATAATATATTGCTTTTATGAAAATTAAAAATGCATCAAAAATTTTTAAAGCGCTTTCATAGTTACTACGTAAGTTTATTCATGCCAAAAAAAACTATGTGGAAAGCTTTAAATAATGGTCTACTCAAAGCTTCCCTATGAGGAGATGCCATTATCTCTTTTTTATAGACAAGAAACTGGGTCATTGAGACATTCACAAATTTGTCCAATTTCTCCCAACTCATGAATGGTAAAGCTAGAATTCAGAGCCAGGGCTGCTTTTATCCTCTTTACTGATTCCACTTATTTAGCTAATCTTTCTAAACATTTATGAAGCAAAGAGGGCAGGTTTTAATGTAAAGTTGTCAGTGACAGAGATTTGAGTAAATGGGTCAGGATTACTGATTTTAAGTCCACGATTGTTCCTACTTTGGCCAATGTGCACACAAGGAGAGATCAATCTGCTCCACTTAAAGTTCACATTAACGAAAAGTGTTTTTCCACATTTCCTATACCTGTTTCATATTAACTTTAAAGCATTTTTTAACTTCTTAAGAAAGCAAATATCTCTGAACATTAAGAAAATTCTGAAAATGTTCCATCTTTCTGCAAGACACAAGCTACTCTTCAACTGGGCTGAAAGTTAATAGTTAAAAGACTGTATCAGCCCAAAATCATAAAAAAGGCAAATGTTCTTCCAGTTTGTCTGGTTGCAAATCTTGGTGCCCTTTATAGAAATTCGATAAGACTGGCATTCTGAAATTAGAAATGCATATGAATAGAACATTTAATTCGATACTGCAGTAATTTGATTAAATGCACAAAGGGAGTTGTGTGGATTAATTGAAGAAGCACTGGAATATCAGCTTTGGGAATGAACCTCAATCTCATCATGGGTCCTAGATGAAATGATATTGCTAGTATTTACTATGCTTCCTGTGGTTAAATATTTATGAGGCAGCTTAGTTTACCAAATATAACATTTAACACAGCTTCAACTTATTGCTACCTTTTCTTTCAATCCCTAGAGTGAAATTTTCCTTAGCCTTGCTTCCTAAAACTAAAAAAATATTTAAAAACTAAAACCTTAGCTAGTTTCTTATCTTTATATTAATCACCCCTTGTTCCATGAAAAAAACAAACAGGGAATCACACTATTTTAAATGACTATTGTATTTTGTAATTTCTTTACTTTACTTAGCTGACATCTTGCATAGAATTAAAGAATGCAGAGAATCAGTATTAATTATTGGGATCTTGAACTTAGTGTAAGTGGAACTCTCTAGGAACTCTTCAGGAGCCCCTCAATTTACCCATCAAAATGTTTTACAGATTGCATCATGTAAGTTACTAAAATTACAGTAAATGGCATTTAATGTTTATAGTGCTTGCTCCGCTCCTGGCAAGTTGGAAGCAAATGAAAAATGGAGCATCAGAACTACATTCCATCAGTATGATTGCCATTTAGAGCACAAAATTATGAAAAAAATTTGAGAGTTCGGTGTTTTTAAGCAGACTCATGATAATTAATCAAAGAAGGACAGATTCTGGGTTCCATAATACCTATCTGGTGGTAATGCACATTTATTCATTTAACAAATACTTAGAAACTCCACTCTGCAACAGTCAGTATTGTAGGTATCAGAGAAACAGATGTAAATAAGCTGAACAAAATCGCTGCCTTCATGGAATTCACTGTGGAATATGCTTAAACTTGCTATTAGGAGAGACTGGTATGATGTTTAGGACTTGTAATATGTTCAAATCTCTTATATATACCTTTTATTTATCTGTGCCATATATGCCATTCATATATTTTTTTGCTGTTAATCCATAAGTTCTGTTTCTTAATCTGATGGAAGTATTTAAGCATGGAATATATTAGAAGGCAGTCCAGTTAGCTCTAATAATTCCAATGATTAAATTAACTTCACAAATAAAATTCACCTTTCTTACCTCTTCAATACTTGTTAGGTTGAGATGAGCAGCCGCTTCATCTTTGGTAAGAAGAATACAGTTCCAGGGGGACCACTCCAGGGATTTATTCCATCTGACCATGACCAGATCACTGAGATCGTCCCAGGCACTGAGGACGGACTGGGACGCCCAGATGTTCTCTGTCAGGTACTGAATGTCTTGTAGCTGCATGTCAAAGCAAGTTTTAAAAACAATGTAGTTTAAATTCGTTTAAGATTATTATATTACTTGAGCAAATAATTAAGTTATAGAGTATTTTTAAGTGAAATATTATTCACTAGGTTTCAATGACACATAGCCCCTTATTTTTCACTAAACTTCTGTTCATTTTGCCTAAACTACATTATCAGTCTTACAGTTGCGTCCCCATCTCTAAACCAGAGTAAGCAGTATAAATTTATTTCAGTATGCTAATTTTATCTTAATATAATATTAATAATACTGTAATGTTGCCATAATAAACATATGGTATTCAATGATTTTTAAAAACTCATTAGTAAGTACCATCTTAATTTCAGGACCATTGTCGAGACCTTTTAAAACCTTTTACTGCCATTTTACAAATGAGGAAGTTGAGTTTTTTTTATATGGAACACTTCACAAGTTTGCATGTCATCCTTGTCCAAGGGCCATGCTAATCTTCACTGTATGGTTTCAGTTTCAGTATATGGGCTGCTGAAGCGAACACAGGAAGTTGAGATTTAATAAAGATAAGTAATTCACTTAGTGTTAATTAAAAGACTTGGTTGTTTCAATAAAAAAGAGGGGTAATGAAATTGTTGTTTAAAACTTTTTTAAAAATGTAAACTTTATTAGCTAAAACTCTTGGAATGACTTTTTATCATGGGGTCTGCATTATAAATTAAGAATTGCCAGAGAGGGACAAACTCAATGAAGTATAAGCATGTAAAAAGAACATTTTTTTTAAAAGCTTCTGTGAAAAACTGTGAGAGCAGAAATATTTTCTGTAAAATGAGTAGACAAAACCTAACAATTTGCCAAAGTAAAAAACAAAAAGAACCTGTAATCATCAGCTATGACAGTATTTCATAAATTGATAATTCAATATATTAAGCTCAACTAATGCATTCTAGCTTTTAATTAATGCTAAAAAAGACAATACTCTGTACACAGCTGCTATGAAAAATAAATTTATAGACTTTTAAAATTCAATGTTTTATATATTTTCCTTACATTCAAAATGCATCTTGTTTACATTTTTGTTTTTAATTTACTTGCTCAACTGTACTAATAATTTTGAAATTGTATCATACAGAATAACATGTTTATTTATTTGCATGTAAATGTCAAATATGCACATGATAAGTGTGATTGGCAGTCTCTAAGAGCTTTCTACCTTTCAAGTAGTCATTGTACTTGAAATTTTTGCAGTAATACAGCAATACTATTGCCTATTAGGCAGTATTTGTATGCATTACAGATAAATGAGGTGACTAGTACAACACTCAAATCTCTTGTCTAAGCAGAATGTTTACTTTTTGTATATATTAGCTTTCACCTTTTCATTTTATATGACATCATGTTCACATTTAATATATGCTAATCTTTGCTGTTGTTCACAAGATTTACTGTTTATGAGAATGTTCAAATATTCAAATTATGCCTCAAATGCTATTACTGAAATAAATATTAATCAAAATTACACCAATTACAAGGGGGGAAGTTACTGGACACTCATATTTGTCTGCTAATCCTAGACATTGGAAAAGTAATATAAGAGACCAAAACCCTACACAGATACAGTATTGAAATTAAATCACATCTAATGGAGATTATCCTTATCTGAAAGGTTACAATGCTCCCCTAGAATTTTTTCACTCAATATGTGTAATGGTTGATTTTACATCAACTTGATGAGGCCACAGGATACCCAGATATTTGGTCATATGGTATTCTGGTGTTTATGTGAGGGTAGTTTTGGATGAGATTAACATTTAAGTCAATAAACTGAGTAAAGCAGATTGTCTTCCATAATGTGAGTGGGCTTTATCCAATCAGTTGAAGGCCTGAATAGAACAAAAAGTTGACCCTGCCCCCAAGTAAGGAAGACTGTTCTTGCCTAATGGCCATTGAATTAAGACATTGGCTCCTCCTGGTTCTATAGCAGCCTGCTGGTCAGCAGACTTGAACTGGGCCATCAGCTGTTTAGGTTTTAGATTTACCAGCCTCCATAATTATGTGAGCAAATTCCTTGTAACAAATCTCCTTATATGTATATATATATAGCATATATGTATAAAATTTCCTATTGGTTCTGTTTCTCAGGAGAAATCTGACTAATACAACATGGAATATTGAGGCAGCACTTGTTGGTGACTTATATTAAAGCCCTAGTACATATAAGATTCTCTACAAGGAAATATACATCTGTCATGTCAACAATTCCTGAATAAAAGTAGCAAATAAGAATTTAAGCTGATATAAACATCAAATTTATTAATAAAATATTCATTCTATTGGACAAAATATGTAATCATTTTAATTTGTGTTTTTCAAACTGTGGGTTGCTACCTCTTGGGTGATACCAAAGTTTTCCAAATGGAAATTAGAATAAGTAGACTGAGACTGAATAGAAAACATCAGAGTGCATCCATAGGGGTAAAGATAAACATTATTTTGGAAACTCTTATTTCTGAGGCAGAACAGCATGTGTTTACATGTATGGATTCTGGGACTCAAACTGCCTAGTTTTCAATCTTGGTGCTGGTACTTAGTAGCGTAAACTTGGACAAGTTTGTTAACTGCTCAGTGCTTCACTTTCCTCATCTGCAGAATAGAAATAAGGCTATTTCGATGGGAATTTTGTGCTGATTAACTCAATAAAGTATGTAAAGCCATATAGGTACTGAGTATTGAGAATTATCATGCATGCCTATATCAGGTTGTCATAAAAATACATTTTTACTGTAGATTGAGATTTAAGAGTTTGAAAGCTACTGATTTAGAAGACTTTTTTAACAAAGCGCATCACATTTGGTACCTGCTTTTAAATCTCTATAAAGTTTTCTATTCATAGTAGTGCCTATTTTCCTATTTGGTATTAAACACAGTTTAGTTCATTTTAATTAATAACTTTAATTTACAGAAAATTTGCCCTTATTTGAAAGTCTGTGAACACAAATATCATTAATGAGGTGAATAGTGCACTATAACATACTTTTATTAATAAGTGGCTCATGTTGGGTAGTCATATCAACAACAAGTAAGTCCTTCTCTTTTCTCACTCCCTTACATAAGTCCAAACAGTGTCAGGAATTTGTTTTTATTTTGTAGAGACACAGACTATCCCTCTGGCCTAAACAACCCAATAGAAGTCATGGAATAACCAAAGAGACCAAAGTAGTGGTTAAGTTAGGAATTCAGGTCAGAGTTCTTGATCTCACAGGCTCCACCCTCTCACAGAGCTAGGAGAAGTTCTTAAGAGAAGCAGATTGCGGATAGGGTCAATGATCCAATGCAATGATTCATCCAAAAGAACTCTGGCCAGAAATTTTCCAGTTGCATGGTATCATACCAACACTTTACATAGACAAGTATCAAAGTCTTTCCTTAAGGTTTTTTTTTTTTTTTAACTTTCTATAAGCCTTAGCTTTCACTTTTGGTGTTATTTACCATTATGGTCACATTCGGTTTACATTAATTAGTACTGTTATTCATAAACACTAGTATGTGTATATGTAACATCAGTTTCTGTGAAAGTCATTCATTCATTCAACAAATATTGAGGGCCTTAAATAAAAACTTGGTACTGTATTAGGTTATAGAGGTATAATGGTGAGCAGGAGGAATAAAAAGCATACTCCTGCCCTTACAGAGCTTATAGTCTAGTGGAATAGAGAGTCATTAAACAATCACACACACACACACAAACACGCATAAGATTGCAAGACAGCCTCCTTGACAGGCTTCAGCTATAATTGGCACCCCTTATTGACCATACCTGCATCAAGAAAGCAATTTTAGAATCATCTTCATAATCAGCTTCTGTAAAGTAGAGCTGTTGAAGTAAACATTTGTACTTCAAAAATGATTCTCGTTTTTGAGCCTCATTCTCAAGGCTAATGCAGTTACGACACCGGTATATGCGGCGTGAGGTGGATGATATAGAAAACTCTGTAGAAGGCAAATAAAGCTGGCAACTGTGGCAAAAGTAAATCTTTTTATAAAATTTCAATGGGTCTTGAGGGACCTAAATAGTAAAAAAATAAATAAATAAATAAGCCAGGCCAGGCCAAATATGATCCTAACCAATAGAAGCATCAAGGGCTAACTTATCTTAGAATGAGATTAAAAAAAAAAAACAGTTGGCTAATTTCCAAAATTATATTTTCCCTTAACTTCTTATTCTACAGAAAATCTAAATTTCCAGCAGTATATATTCATCCTGCCAAAATACTGAAAATCTGTTATTCATCAATTCTTAGATATTAGTTGTAAAATCACTTAGAAAATTAATTGACTGAAAAAAATAGTAGGAAGAGGCTTTTTATTGTTAAGAAAAGTTTAGATTTTTTTCAGTTCTACATTAGTTATTCCTATAGGCAATAGATAGATTCACATATAAGTAAAAACCCACTAAACCAATTGTTCTTCTCGTTTAATTTATCTTCAAAATAAATTTGGATTAGTTCAAATGATTAATTTTCAAAGTTTGAAATTCTATGTCTAAAACAATAGACAGAGAGTAATTCTATCAACAAAATAATCAATCCAATCATTCACTATGGGCTAAAAATTCACTATTCACTATGGGCATGAATGAATGAGTGAACTGTGAACATCTCAACACAAACTGAATCAAGATGTATATAAGCCAGTCTTTCCTAATTTATGGTACATCAGTACCTCTGGCTTCCATGAAAGTAAAGATCAAGCAGCAACAGAGTTTGTATGTGATATATAAGACTTTCAAAAAATATTTTTATAAAGAAGGAAATAGACATCAATGTTCTATAAATCTATAAATTTTTTCTCTTACTCAATGTAGATTTAAAATATTTACCATTATAATCCCTTCCAATGTTTTACTTTGTTCTGAACATCTGTTACCTTTCTGCACCTTCCCTTCTACTCTGCCTTACTTTTCCTAAACGCTCCATCTTCCTGAAGGGTAATATTCTTTAAAAACTTCATTGTCCCTTGTCTTGTAATTTTGGGAGATAAGACAATATGTAAATTTAAAAGGTAGTCAGTTCTTCGAGAGAAAAGAAGAGTGATCTGGGGTATATGGATCAAAGATCCAGAAGACAACTTATCTGGTTTATTTTCTTATTCTGAGATTTACACATTTTGTTTATCTTAAATGATTATTTTATCTTCATGCCTTCTATGCATTAAATTAGCAAATACATCAGTCAACCTCATGAAAACACGTTAGCCCACCTCTCCATTATAGATGGAGCATTTATTATAATGACATGGAAAGATATTCTCTACCCATCTGAAATTGTGCAAGAAAAAAAAAAAACTCATTCTCATTATTATTATGATGACAGAGGGCTCCATTTAAGCTGCAGAATTTAACACTATGCATTCTCCAGAGTACACTGGGTACTTCATGCTGGCCTACTCCCAAAAAGTGGTTGTGGGGGTAGTGGTGTTCCTTCAAATTCTTCTCCCACTATGCAAACTAAAAATGTGCAAATGAGCCATTCCTTTTTAAAGCCAGTAACGTTTAAATCCAGCCAGTAGTTTAAGATATTAAAGAGTATATTCCCCCCAAAAAAGAAGTACAGGATAATCCATAGGTGTGTCCTAGATTCAGGAACAAACTTTAAACCCTTTATCTTAATTAATATATTTATCACATACCGCAGGCAGAAACGCAACATGGTGCAGTCAGTTTGGAAAAAAAAATGTTTAGTAGTCTCTTTTTAAAGTAAACATGCATTTACCATGTGATTCAATATGCCACTTTCTAGGAATTTACCCCAAAACAATCAATTTACCCAAAAACTCATATCTAGTACTTATAATGACTTTATTCATAAAAGACCAAAACTCTAAACAATCCAAATGTCCTACAACTGTGAATGGATTTTTAAAGACTTCTTGTATATCCAGATATTAGAATATTTTTGGGCTATAAAAACAAACCACTGACACACTCAAAAACATGAGTGAATCTCAAATGCAATATGCTAAGTGAAAGAAGTCAGTCTCAAAAGACTACATATAGTATGAATCCATTTATATGACCTTCTGTAACAGATAAAACTATAAAAATAAAATACATATCAGTGTTTGCCAAGGATCGGGAAGTTAGGGAAATGGCTGACTACAAAGTGGCAGCATGAGAGAATTCTGGGGGATGATAGGACCATTTCTTATTTTGACTGTGCTACTGGTTATATGACTCTATACATTTTTCAGAACTTACCAAAAAGAGTACATTTTACCAAAGGTAAAATTTAAAAATAAATAAAATGATATAACATTATGTAAAGTTGTAGAAACTCTATCAATTGTATTACTCCAAATATAAACCGAATAAGTCTACAGAGAAAGAAGGTGGCTCAGACAAATGAAATACTGGTTTGAATAAGAAATAATATAATGGGAACTTTTTCTCTTGGACTTTTGTTATATTTTAATATCTTTGCAATACAATCAGGTTTTAAAAAATCAATTTGAAAAATATAAAAATTAAACAGTATTTATTCTTCTAGAAGTCTTGACTAAATATGAGATTTTGTTTTTTCAAAAAAGCTAAAGATGTTTAGTCAGCTTTTTAAGTAAATTTTAACTGAATATAATCATTGAAATAAAACTATAATTCTCTGACAACATTCTCCACCCCAAGAGTTTTACTAATAGTGTTTTAAATAGCTCTGCACAGTAAGAAGGCAATGAAAATTCCCACAGAAGCCTAACGACGTTGGAGTTGGAGAAGATAGTGTAATTCAAATACATTACATTTGAAGTTCTCTCAGAAGATCCATATGGATCTGTTCAGTAATAACTATAACTATGTGATAAGTGTTCTAAGGAACACAGACAAGGTATAACATAGAATCTCAGAAAAAAACAATTTAACTCCCTGTGACGCCTCATGAAGGAGAAGAGATGAGAGTTGAGTCTTAGAAAATGAAGAGGAATTGGCTGGGTAAATAGTGAATGGTTCCAGGGGAAACCAACAGTATGTACAAAGCCATGGAGGTGTGAGAAATCATAATACATTCAACACAATGCAATATTCAGTTGGAAAGTTGGTGAAGATATTAGGAAATAATTGAAAGTTGGAAATACTCAGAAGTCAAGTAAGTGTAGTTTACCAACATACAAAATAATCATTCAAAGGAGATACCACCAATAAGATGGTATTCCACATGGACTCCAAGGAAAGTGTTAAAGCAAAACTTGAATAGACTTCAATTTACTATGCCACATCTTAGGATTTTGAAAACGGAATATAAAGAAGTAGAATACCTTAAGGTATTTTGCAACTTCAGGATTAAACAGAGGTGTTTTGATATAATGAAAAAAGAGTGTCGCAATTCTTTTTCTGAGTCCTTCAAGGTTATGATGTTTGACTCCTCTCATCATAAGGTCAACCTCTCTGTCAATCAATTCTAGAATTTCCTGAGTTAGTTTACATTCATGTTCCTACACAAAACACAAAAATATATGGTATAAAATTTTACAAATCACTAAGTTCATTTTCAAATTGCCACCGAAACAAACCAAAATCTACATTCCAAAAGAAATGAAACATTGCCAATAGGAACATAAATTGGCAAAACTAATTTGGAAAAAAATCGGTATATCCGACACACTAGAGTTAAATATATGCCAAATCTATGACCCAGGAATTCTACTCTTAGGTGCTTTAAAGAAATGTGCATGTAGAGCTCTACTGTTCATATTAACTGAAAATTAGAAACAGCCAATAGTCCATAAATAGATTACATTAATAAATTACAGCTTATTTACACAATAAATTATCTAATATATGGAAATAAATGAACTATAGCTATAGTTCATTTTTTGTTGTATATATAGCTATATATACAACAAAAACTTAAATCTTACAAATCAATTTTAAGCAAAATACTGCAAGTACAAAATAACAGATATAGTACAATTCTGTCAAATAAAATTCAAGAATAAGCAACACTAAATCATATTATTTACATATTTATACAGAGGTGGTAAAACTATGAAGAAAAATCAAGAAAATGACTACCACGAAAGTCAGTATGATAGTTACTTCTAGGAGATGACAGGAGGAATTGGAAAAGAGGACACCAGAAACATTGACAACATCCTGTTTAATATTTGTTAAACTGTACGTATATATTTTATTCACTTTTCTGCCTATTTATTATAGGTCACAATATTTTTTATAAAGTAATATAAATGAGTGTGGTTGGATGAAAAAGCCATAAGTAATAAAGTGATTAATGTAGAAGTATTTATTAGGTCCTCCAATTGCCCAAGGGAAAACTGGAAGATACACAGCTTGAATGAAGGAGTCAGAAGATAAAGTCATTAATTGTAAAATAACGCTCTTCTGTACTTTGTACTACATGGTTGGTAAGGCTAATATGAGAGTCTGCATCAGTGGTCCTTTACCCTGGAGGCACTTTAGAAGGACCTCAGGGAGATTTAAAAAAATTTTAATATTGTCCTCATACCTGAGGAGCTAATTTAACTGCTCTAAAGTGGGGCCTAGATTTATACTCATTTATGCTCATATTCATTCATGCTGTCCCTCTTGCAGGCTCTCCAGGTGATTCTAATATGCACTGAGGTTTAAAATTCACTGGTCTATATTAGTAACTACTATCAAAATAACACCTTTTATTGAGGTCCCCCTCTTTGTAAGGCACTATGTTAAGTTTTTATATTTATATATATGTGTGTGTATATATATACATACATGTAGATACACACATACATATTCTCAAAGTAACTAATTTTACAAATGACAAAACTGATTTTCAGAAGAAATATTAACTTATTTTAAGGTTGTGCAGCCATAAATGAAGAGTCAGAATTTGAGTTGTGCTTAAAGACTTTAACCCTCCATCAAAATATTTTCAAGTAAATGTATACATGAATATTTCATACTAAACATAGTAAGATATGCATGATTTGCCTTTTATGAGTCCATCCTTTGGCCTTTTTATTACTGGTCCTAATTATGTCAGGATTTATATTATATTCCCTATGCACTCTCTTTTTGCCAATCTGGTCTTTTTACTGCCCTCTGTAAGTATCATGTTTATTTCCTACCTCTGGACCTATTGCTTCTCCCTCCCTACCTATCTCCTATCTTTCAAGGTTGGTCACTATGCAAACATCTTTGAAAAGGTAGTCCAGAAAAAAAGGCAGTCAATGCCTCTGCTGGTAAGAAATGCAAGATATCTATGGAGATCTCCCAGGAAGAACCATTTACCCAATTATTTAATGTGTTTTAAGAGTTTTGTGTGCCTTGGAGGACAGACACATAAACTCATCAACAGAAAGAGTGTTCTTTACAGTTAGGAGTACAGAAACCTACACAGAATATCAAAATGTTATGCTTATGAAATTCTCAGGTTTGTAATCATGTAGCTCACTTAGATGGACCTAAATATGGCTGACAGTTTTCAGTTGTTACATATAGTGAACCACTGATTTTCACTACAATATCTATGCCTGTATGTTCTGGCAATCTGGGCCATATTGATGACCAAAACAGACTGACCATGCAGTTATCTAATCCATTGCTTATGTATAAACGTTAGTTAATACAGATGATCACTCAGAAACAACCTGTATTTCTGTGCTATACTGAACAAGCATCTGCCAAGTGTTTTATTAACTTGAGAACTCAAAAGCACAATTCAGAACCCAAATACTTTTTACCTGTATTGCCCACTTATTACATAAGCTTACATTAAATATTGAGCTTACATTATGGTCAGGATAAATTAAATAAAATAATGTAAATTATTTAATTTGGGCTATAAAACGCAAGAGCTATACCAATGGTCCTAATAACAGTAGAGTTTCCCCCTTTAATTAGAAATATAGAAAACATATTCATTGTAATGAAAGTTTGAGTGTGTTGCCCAGATCAGCCCTATTTCAGCAATGAAGGAGACTCTCAACCACAAGTTGTGGTAGCTGACAGCCCTCCACTGAGCCTCTCTCTGAGAATTCCCTGTGCTGAAGAGAGCCATCTGGCCTAAAGATAGACAGTTACCATCAGCTGAAAACAAACTGCCTCATCTAAGGTCATATTTCTTCTCAGGGACATTGTGAATCAAATGACTAATTGCTGTGGCAGTATAGAGACCCATGATCCCGTGAGAGTCTGGGGTATGTGAAAACAAAAACTAAATCAAGTCTTCGCCCAGGTCCAGCTCATAATGGATCTACTGGGTTCAAAGGGCCACCCAGTATTCATTTCCCTAGTCCTTGAATATATAACTGGAATAGAATACTTGATAGTATCACAGCCTCACTACCCTTGATTTCTTGACCTGTGGAGTGAGAGCTATCATGATGAGGAAAACCAAGTGGAAGCCCCTGAAACTGCCCTAGCCTGGGAACAGAGGAGGTGAAAGTAAAAATGGCCCCACTTACTACCTGGGAAATTTTTCCTTCCTGCCGTAACTCTGGACTCTTTAAGTTTACAGGTCCTAATTCCTGGAGGAAAAATTCTTCTAATGTAAGACATAGTGCAAGTCCTATTAAACTCCGAGCTACAACTAATGCCTAAGCTCTGCAGGCCAAGAGACCTGTGGGCAAGGCAAGTGTTTCCTTAGTTATAGAGGTAACTGACTCTGATCTTCAAAAGCAATGGTGCAGTTATTACCCAATAGGGACAGAGAAGAATATGTTTGGCACCCAGGTAGTGGGCATTTCTTGGTATATCTTTGCCTGATTTTGACAGTAAATGGAAGTCTGGTAGCCTCAGCCTGAGAAAAGCAGAGTGACCTGTGGTTCAGACCTCTCAAGCTGCAAGTCACTCCAAAAAGTAGACCAACTGGACCTGTCAAGGTGCTAGTTCAGGGAGAAGGAAATCTAAAATAGATAGTAGAGGAAGGCAACAGTGAGCATCTCCTGTGGCCTTAAAGCCAATGACTACACTAGGGGCTGCAGTTTTTCTTATTAACCTTGCTTTGGGGCCTAGCTAAATCCGGAGGAGCTAATCCTAAAACCTACAACATGAAGTGGATCCAGGCAACAGTATGTGTATTCTCCCCATCTTGGTAGATTGTTGGCTGACAACTCTCAAGTGAGGCTCTTTCTGAGAATTGCTCTCTAATAAAGAAAGTTATCTCATCCAAAGTCATGCCCTTCTGGCGGCAGCCCATCCAATAAATGGTCAAAGTGGGAGTAAACTGTCCTGCCTCAATTCAGGACAACTATGGATGGCCTTTAAAGTTTCAGAATTCCCCGTGACACTGGCTGAAGTCAGTGTTGAGAATCCACCACAATTTAATTTCTCTATCCTGCCAATTCTGATTTCTCTACTGCCTCACAGGAATTATCCCTGATAGCACTCTCCAGCAAACTTCCTAAATATAAAACCCATCTCTGAGTTTGTTTCTTGTTTCTTGGGAAAATTTGATCTGTGACATCCACTAACCTTGTTTTCATTAAAAGTAGGATTAAGAACACAGAAAATCAATAACTGACGAGAAAAAAGATAAAAATACAATGGAGCTGCTTTAAAACTGCTAAAAATCAATTTTTCACTGAAAAATGTCAAAATATGTAAATAATTGCTGTTTATGTAATTATTAATCTCATGCTATACTGCATATATTTTCATTCATTGCATAAAGATATATTTACATTCATTACACTATATTTACATTTATTATGTAATATAACATATTTTGAGAACTTTTAGGTAAATATTAATGAATAAACCACCCAAATTATACCAAAACAATTCTTAATGTAAAACACTTTACTTGTTTTAGTATTTTATTAATTTTTTTTATTGATAGTGAACTCTACCCCCAAACTAAGAGAAAGTTAACATACCTTTACAGTGTGTTTAAGAGTTAAGAGCACATCTAGCCTCTCATCTTGAGAGATATTTTTCAGCATGATGCACTTATAGATATTTTGCAGCTCTCTGGCTCTGATGGTGAACTGCGTATCCATCTCAATTGTTTTGCCATTAGGGGTTCTCCATATCTTTGGAGCTGAACACTTAAAAATAATATTATGTTTATAACTATCAGTTAATTAGAAACTACAAATAACAATTTTGCTCCTTCTACTAAAAGTCTACCTTAGTATCATGTGCTTTATAACTAGAGTATCGCTAAAGCTTAAGAAAATTAATTTAAGAATTTATAGATCAGGCAAAAGTAAAATATTTTAGAAAAAAACAAATATGAAAGAGTTATTCAGTGTGTAGAAGTTCATACACTTCTACAATATTCAGGATTTGCTACTAGTCTTTATGTTGAATTGTTTGAGAGATGTATGGAATTACTCCTTAACCCCCTGAGGACAATTATCTGCTTGGTTCAATTATATTGAGTGTATATAAATATGTCTTGATCCTGCCTTGCCAATTGAAGATAACTTTTGTAGAGTAATTATGACAATCCTCAATATATTTAGACCTAAAGATATACCAAAAAGGGACTCTGTGAGTTATGGTTTAATGTCCTATAAAAATACTTCTATAACAAGTTCAAAATTCTTCTCAAAGCAGATGTCCATAGTGAAAGAGCTATATTGCTATCTTAGCAGTGCTGGGCTGTGGTTCCTGCCTCCCTGATGCTGGCTAAGATTCTCACTTCCTATTTCCAAATCTGGCTTAGTGTCTCCCAACCTAGCCCACCTCCTAAATGAAGGGCCAAAAATGAAGTTCACTTGCCCTGAAGCTCATCTGAGGACTCCCAGGCTAAGAATTCAGAGATTAGAGATAGGAGGTGAAATTAGTCCTCTATCGACTCAGGAAACACAGGATAATCTTTAATGATGGTACCTCTGTGTTTGCCACTGCTTCTGTTCCCTCTGACAGGGACATTCAGAGGAGATGCATTCACCCAGAAATTTCACAGTGAAAACTTACTCTCTATTAGCTCCTCTACTTTAGGGTACAAAGCTGCTCAGTTTCTTTCCCTAATGATAAATTTTCAGAAACAAGACTATGTTGATCATGACAACTCTCCAAATGTTGGATGTTTTTGTAAGTTAACTGTAGTTGCTCTGGTGTCCTTGTAGCCCAATTTATGCCGTACTTGCAACCATTTAAATCTTAGATGTGATCTAACATAAGGTTTAAATGGAAGCTCTATGTATTGGAACAGATCATCAGGAATGTGGACTAACCAAATAGAGACATTATATAAAACTGTATTAAAATGACAGCATCAGGAGGAAATTTTAGTTGTAACATCAATTTACATCTAATTTTTTACATTCACATTAGCTAAATCACATTGAGAACTGCAAAGCTACCTGGTAAAAACAACTATATTTGATATATTCTCAAAGCAATGGCATCATATTCAGAGCAAAGCCAAAATGAATGTTATTCAGAGGTAGGAATCTTCATTAGAAACTTTAGATTCTCAGCTCTAGTTTTAATCCAGTAAATGAGAAGTTGCAGCCCTATAATTAATTTATATTGTTACAGCATAAATTTAATATTAAATAATGTATTATTATCAGACTAATATAATTAAGATTGATTAAAAGCTTATAAGGAAAATAGCTCAATAATAAAATATTTTATCATTCAGTTATTATCACTTAGAAATAAAATAATTTTTAAATGCATTTAGCCTTATTTTGGGTAGGCCTCAGAGTGTTATTGAAGTTTGATGCTTATTTAAAGCTCTTTTTAAAAAGTTTTTAAAGGCTAGGTCTAAGTTTCATGTTCTAATATTCGAAAGTCTAACCAATGTCTTAATCTTTGCATATAATTTTCCTCAGGTTTGCTCTACTAAATGCAATTCCTTTTCTTCCAGTAATTTGGACAACACCTTTTGATCTGCAGGGTGGTAAATTATTTCATTTGTAATAATTCAAATATAATGACCTTTCTATGAAATGCCTACTTTACCTATCACATTGTATTTTTCAGTTGATAGACGGACTTAACTCTATCTTCCCCCCAGGTTTGTAGCCCTAACAAATAGAGCATAATGTGGTTAGATCTTGGTTTCCAAATATATTCTTCATCTAAGTCCTTTCCACTTTTCAATTTTGCACTTAAACCCTACCTCTTCCGTAAAGATTCCTCTAACTACTATGGTTTGAAACAATTATATCACTTGTACATGAAATCCTATTGTACTTATAAAAACACACAAACAGAAGTATACATTGTCTCTATTTTAGTGACTAGAGGCAGTGAAATTTGGATCCAAATTGCTTTATAATTGTTTTATGTTTGCTAATTCCATTTCTCCCAAAAGAGTATGAGAAATAAATTTCTCAGCTGGGCACGGTGGCTCACACATGTAATTTCAACATTTTGGGAGGCCAAAGTGGGTAGATTACTTGAGGTCAGGAGTTCGGGATCAGCCTGGCCAACATGGTGATAACCCATCTCTACTAAAAACACAAAATTTAGCAGAGTGCAGTGGCACTCACCTGTAATCCCAGCTACTTGTGAGGCTGAGGCAGGAGAATTGCTTCAACCCAGAAGGTGGAAGTTGGAGTGAGCCAAGATTGCGCCACTGCACTCCAGCCTGGGCAACAGTGCAAGACCCAGAAAGAATGAAGGAAAAGAAAGGGCAAGGGCAAGGGCAAGGGCAAGAGCAAGGGCAAAGGCAAAGGCAAAGGCAAGGAAAGGAAAGGAAGGAAAGACAGAAAGGAAAGAAGAAAGAAGGAAGGAAGGAAGGAAGGAAGGAAGGAGAGAGAGGGAGGGATGGAGGAAAGAAATTTCTCATGTAGTTCTATATATCTCACAGTGTCTACAGTACTCTTTCATTCATTCAACAAATACTTACTGTGTTTACTATACATTAATCAATGTATTAGGCACTGAGTAGAAAAAATACTATCCTGGTTTCAAGAATTCTCAAATCTCATGGGATGGAAGGATAAGAAAATAAGTAATTAGAAAAAAAAGATGAGTACGCTTGATGACTGTAGATAAATAGGTATCTGTGGGTTGCTATGAAGCACTTAACTGGTAAAAAGAAAGTATCTAAGATGGAATCTGAAGAATAACTAGGAGTTAGCCAGATTAAGGGGAACTGAGTGATACAATCAAAGAATCCTAGATTTGAAGTTCAAGTTCCCTAGAGTTGGCACTGAAAAGATATTTAAAAATCTGTTCAGCAACGCTGTTTTTATACTTAGATGTATTTCTGCCAACACAGATAACTTGATCTTCAAGGCTAGGCTTTTTTGATTTCAGGGTTTAAGGTGTTTTCTACTCTGACACAGGAAAAATGTCAACTTTGCTTATTTCTCTTCCCTATTTCCTTTTTTCTTTGAAAGCTTTGGCTGTGATAAGAGATATACAACAATCATGTGCTTAAATTGCTTCAGAAAATAGGAGTATAATAAATTCCATTTAGCTGCCAACAAATGAGACAGCACAGAGCCTGGAAGAGAGGAACAGAAGAACAGCAGGAAGACACATTTCAGGGAAAGGAAGGTGGAGAAATAACAAGAACCTTGAGAGCAGCAGGCTTCCACAGAAAAGAAGAAATGACTGCACTAGGAGAGTAGGTATTTTCTTCCTCCTAAATTGATTCTCAAGCCCCTAAGGACACAAATTAAGAATAGCCCTAACTCCCCACAGAAGCTACTGTATAGTGATCAACTTTTCTTTTACACAGCACGGGGGTTTTGCTCAGCTATAGCAGCGCCCTTACTTCATGCAGTGTTCAGAAAGAGGCAGTGGCATTTTCCTGCCCTACTAACTGTTAGCTACCTGGGTATGGAGAAAAACCATTGAAAAGACACAGCTAATGTGGATTGCAGTTTTTTAAGGCTGTGATTGTGAATACTGTACAAATCAACGGGCATCAAATAAATAAATGGCCTTGACTCAAGGAAAAATATCTTACAGAAATTCAAATGGTCTCTTTACACAGTTTGGGTAAATAACACTCAAAGATATATTAGAAACCAGCTGATGATTTTTGATTCAAACTTCTTAACCTGAATTTCTTCACCTCTGTCAAGCTCTCTGAGTTTTTTTGTTTTTTCGTTTTTTGCTTTTCTGACGGAGTCTCACTCTGTTGCCCAGGCTGGAGTGCAATGGTGCAATCTCGGCTCACTGCAGCTTCCACCTCCCAGGTTCAAGTGATTCTCCTGCCTCAGCCTCCCAAGTAGCTGGGATTACAGGCACCCACCACAACGCCTGGGTATTTTTTTTTTTTTTTTTTGTAGTTTTAGTAGAGACGTGGTTTCACCATGTTGGTTGGGCTGGTCTCAAACTCCTGACCTTGTGATCCACTTGCCTCGGCCTCCCAAAGTTTTGGGATTACAGGCGCGAGCCACCATGCCCAGTCAAGTTTTTAATATTTGATACCCTGTGGAAGTCAATGCTTGGTGGGTTAAAATTACTAATTATATAATGCTTTTAAAAATCTTTAGAGTTAGCCTTTTATTATGAATGAGGACTTAGTATACAGTCTATTATAATCTATTAGTTCAATGCTTTGACTGGACAAATTTAAGACTGTGTCACTCATTATTCAGAGACATTCTATGTTCAGGACAAAAGAATTAAAGATAAAATATTGGTTCAATAAACCACACAGTATTTGGACTCAAAAAAGTGAAACTGAAAGTAAAATATAAAATTGTATTCTCCAAAGTTATTTCCAAATTAAAGGAAAGTAAATGTTTCTCTGGATGTATCTGCATATTGTGGTGTTAAATGTAGATCTTCAAATTCACATATGGCACTCGTTGTTAATTTTGACATGCGAAAAAACTCTGACCTCGTCTACTTTCAGGGGTTAATTATAAGCTATCTTTTCTTAAAAATCAAAAACTTTGGCCATACTGCCCAAGGTAATTTATAGATTCAATGCCATCCCCATCAAGCTACCAATGAGTTTCTTCAAAGAATTGGAAAAAATTGCTTTAAAATTCATATGGAACCAAAAAAGAGCCCGCATCTCCAAGACAATCCTAAGTCAAAAGAACAAAGCTGGAGGTATCACGCTACCTGACTTCAAACTATACTACAAGGCTACAGTAACCAAAACAGCATGGTACTG